TGCTTCAATTACTGTATAACTGAAATTTAACAGTTGATTTTGTTGCAGTACCTTGATTAAGTGCCACAATGTTAGGAAAATTCAAGGTTGTACATATATCAATTGCTTTCACATGATTAAATGCAAGGGTGCACAATTAGCCACAAACTTAACACCAGAAAGTTAACAGAATTTGGCTGGTTCAAATTTTTAATGAAATTATCTATATTTTTTACTTTTAGGTACCTAAGTGTAGAATGGGCAGTCAAAAAAGGCCTTGAACATGATTTTAAGAGCAATCGGGTTGTTCACCCATTGGTAAATCGCTTCTTTTCAAATAATCTACATAGTGTAGAAAAATACCACAGGTGTTGTAGCCGTGACAGTCCAAAGTACAGTAAATCTCATGTTAACATCCATCCGTAAACACTAAAACTGTCTGTACCAGTGTGGGTAGTACCAATGTGAAAATGCTGTGCTGAGTGGTTATATTCAAGCAGAAACTCAACGTTTCGAGGGCATTTGCTCGAAACGTCGAGTTTCTGCTTGTTTTTTAAGGTACGGTAGTAATATAACAACTCAGCACTTCCTATCTTATATGTTCTAGGTTCCACAGCAACCCAACTTGGTGGACTGTGGAATTTATGTCATGAAATTTGCAGAGATGCTAATTAAAGTAAATCACACTATTTAGCCACATTGATAGGCATATTTAACCTGACATCTGGTTTCCTGATATATCACTATATGTACTTTCATATTGACAAAATTCCCTAGTAGATTTAATTTACAGTTTACTTTATACTCACCACTTTCTAGGAGCCATTAACTGGTGAAATGCTGATGAAAATCCCCGATTTTCGCCATTGGTGTGACCACGCCGAGATACATGCAATGCGACAACGAGTGAAAACACTTTTGTCAACAGTATAAATATATAAATTCTGTATAAATTGTTTCATATGGATCATATGAAAGTACTATATACTTTTCTATAATAAATGTCCTGTCGATACTCCAGTAAATTTGTCTACTATGTCACCAATTAATACATATGCATCGCTATAAACATAGTGTAACCTTTACTATTTAACTAGAAATAGTTTACACTAAAACTGCCCCCGGCTGATCATGGTGTACTAACTAGCTTTTATTAAAAATTAAAAATGATCATGCCTTATGGTAATTTACAAAATGTTATTACTACTTTCTGGCTTTCTTTCAAAACGCTTAGAAGATTGATAAAATTGGACGAACTTTAAAAGTGAACCACGTGTAACTTGATCCTTGTGCGTCTATCCGGCTGAAGGAATGGCGCTTTTCAATATAATGGAACAATGACTATATGAGTCCCTTGTTACAAACGTTTATAATGTGACCGTTGTGTGTTAAGCTTTGCTCAATTTTTTATATTTGTATTTGTTTTTGACTGACTGATGTGTGAACCAAGTTTTTTTTGGTTCCTGTTTTGATTAATGTGTCTGAAAAATCGTATAGTTGATACTTGATAGAATCTTGATAGACGGAGTTTTTAATTTGCGTTACTGTTTTCGTTATTTGATGGATCGACTCCTTCACCAACAAATGATAGTAACAACGTACCTCACAAGTCTATAATTAATAGACACGTAAAACAGACCACAGAAATAAAATGCCGTTTGACAAGGTGTTGACCCAAGCGAATAATAATTCTTACAGAAAGCAACGCAACCTTTGAACCCTCACCTTTTAAACTTGCGCAGCTACGGCACTACGCCAATAATTCACTTGCCTTTTATAATAAAATTTGAACCCTCACCTTTTAAACTTGTGGCCTTTTACTGTAATATATAAACTAATTGCTTCTAATCTTGATAGCTTTAACAATTCATGCTTAATTTATATTTGCATCAACTTATATCATATTACGTGCGGGGACTTCAATACCCCCAATGTTTTGCGATATTACCCGCAAAGCATTGATATTACCCACCAATGCTTTGCGGGCGAAAACCTAAAAACTTAAATTTCTCTGCCTCTGGTATACACCGTATGTATACACTGATATCATATTACACTATTACGTCCGGGGACTTCAATATATGCCTCCTCGGGTTTTGGCCCTCTGGGGCCAAAACCCTGCGGGGGCAACAAGTTCATGTAATCATGCTGTGTTCCATTAGTGACATACACGAGCCTTCCCCAATCGGAATTGGCCGTATGACGTCACGACATGAACTGCTGTACAAATAGTGAATCCCGTTTTTGGCCACACACTTTCGTCGAGAGCACGATCTCCAGATATGTAAGTATAGCTCAGTGTTCAGGCCACTGAGCTATACTTAATATATCTGGAGATCGTGCTCTCGACGAAAGGGTGAGCACCATAGTAACCTGAGTATCGACTCTATTTTACAAATAGAGCCTGACACAAAACTTAACCTGATCGCTTTCCGCCCACAGCAAAGTTTATATTTAGTATCCAATCAAAATGTCGCAGGAGAAATTTAAATTTCACACAACGACAACAACAATCTAATTATAGCATAGGCAGCCCACTAAACGGCTGAATTTAAATTAAAACTGCAATGAACTTATAAAATTAACAAAAATAATCACAAATTAGCGAAATATATTGCAAATGTAGCTTATATTAAATCGCCACCCGATTGCTCTCTCCTCCGCAGAGGTTTCAGTGACTACAATGAGCTTTACATGGCGCTTGCCGTATTTGTCAACAAACTGACGTATAATTATAAAGTATACTTTATAACTATACATCAGTCAATAGTGCAATCTGATGGCGATTTAATATAAGCTACATTTGCAATATATTTCGCTAATTTGCGATTATTTTCTAATTTTACTGCAGTTTTAATTTAAATTCAGCCGTTTAGTGGGCCGGCTATAATTGTAGTTGTGAATTGTGATCGTTATAAAATATATCAACAACAATAGTATAATCTAATTAGCACCAGCCAATCAAATGACAGATTTAAAAATCGTTTGTCTAATCGGCCAATCAGCGCTCAGTCCAGATTCTGGACTGAACAACCAGGCAAAATGCCACTTTTGTGTCAGGCCGTACTTTTCTCCCCTTCGCCCACGATCAGGCGTGCCTGTGCCCTAAAAAGTACAGCCTGATACTCAGGTTAGCACCATAGAGCAATGGTGAGCACTATATCATAGACAAGATACGTACAAATCTGAAACTGCAATACATACAAGTCAGCGGTATTCCATTTTTAAAATTTAAATAAATTAGTGCGCGAAATTGGAAAAAACGCGCGAAACCAAAGCAATATGGCTTCCATCGAAAAGTGACCGAGTGCTTGTTTGCGCTTCACAAGCAGAAATGCTTGAGAAATTTGAAGAGTACAAAATAAAAACAAGTAGTGGTTGGAGATGTATGAAATCAAATGTACTTTTTGGTAAGTGAACTAATTTCAATATGTAAATTTGTCTTATAAATATTCATACGAATACCGTGTGTGCAATATTTAAATCTTACTGGATAAAAACCTTTCATAGGGGACCACTCATTAATAATGGGAGGGGGAGGGAGGGGCGGTGGGTGATACAAATATTGAACATTTTTTAGAGCCGCCCCAATCACAAGACCTTTATTTTCAAGATGCTCCCACCTTCATTTAGAAATTTAGGACCCTCCAAGATTTAAATTGTTACTTAGTTGGTGTAAAATAGGTAATGGTACAAGTACTGGTGTAAGACATTGTGTAGCCTAAATAATAAGAGGACCAGTATTCAAAATGGTTGTATTTACTCTGACTCCTATCATGAACTGCATATACGTAATAGACTATTACTATTATTAGGTGAAATATTTTGCAATATGATAAAGGCAAGAGATTGAAAATGAGGAAAGTATTCAAAATTTGGGGTCGCCCATTGTCACATATTTTGAAGCCACCCTCAATTCAGGCAAAAATAGTTGAAGCCCCCCTTTACTCACCCACCTCCCCCCTCACTGGCATGATGCTCACCAGGGTTAGTTCAAAAACTAAGTGCCCCCGACAGTTAGGGGCCCCATCAGCCACGGCCTATCACCCAGAAAATTAGACTGAAAACATGAAAAATGCAGGTTACGAATCGATGGAAAAATACAAAATTAATAATGCTAAATAATAAACCCTCCATCGACGATGGTATTCCATCTCAAATAGAACAAAAGTTATTCTTGAAAGTTAATTGTTACATGTGTTGGAGACTGTTATTGTTATTGTCATTGTTATAGACATAGAATTTTCCATTCTACTGATAAATATTCAATATAAAGATAAGATCTTAGTCAAACAATAACAGTCAGGGGCCACACCAAGGGGGCCCCCTCTTCCTACATTACGCCACTGGCCCCTCTCCCTGCCTCCCATTATTAATAACCGGTGGTCCCTAATCATCTATTATATACATTTCATACAATTTCATATTATTTAATTAATATATACATCACACTATAAACAGAAAGTCAGAAACAAGTGCTAATACTAAATGGTAGAAATACACAATAATGGAAAAAGGCTTTCAGTCAATTATCTGCCAGTATGATATTCGCATGCCTAGTATATGATGTTAAGATGTATCATCTTAGGCCCTGTTCATATCAGCCAGGCTAGCCTGCCTTGCCAGAATAGAAATTGTTATCATATGAGTCAGGATATTGGCAAACCAAGACATTGAAGATAAGCCTGGCTAACTAGGCCAGCTCGAGTCATTTAATGTCCATTTCATGTACTATATATGCATAATCACTGCATAATCTGCAATAGCACAACATATTTCAACTTTTCATATTTTCATGCACTTAATAATATTAACAACAAACAACATGTTAAAAACAGTTGACTAGGATGTCAAAGGTTAGGTGGATGCATTCTTTGGAGGGAACAAACCCAATAATTATTAAACCAACAATTTGTAACAATTATTTTATTAATTGACAGCAATTATTTTATTATTAAATATTGATTATTTTAACAATTATTTTATTAATTTAATAACAATTATTTTATTAAAATATTGGTTATAATTATTATAATTATTATTATTATTATTTTTTTTTATTATTATTTTTTATTAATATTATCTAACGCCAGACAATTAATTACTCATCAGTGGTAGAGTACTGCCAGTAAATGGGTTAAAATGTTAAATATGAATTAAGTTGAAATCGGTTGTAATAACCAAGTGATTCATTAACCTATTAAGTTGCAAGACTCTCCTTGATGAGCAAAATCATCTAGCGTTAGAAAGAGTAAAAATTCATTGTGTTATCTGCTGCTGTTGGAAGATCCTTTTCCTTCAACATTTTACTAAAGATTTACTGTGTCATCTGCTGCTGTTGGAAGTTCCTTTTCCTTGAACATTTTACTAAAGATTTGCTGTGTCATCTGCTGCTGTTGGAAATTTCTTTTCCTTGAACATTTTACTAAAAAATTACTGTATTATTGTACATAATTTCTAGGGAAAATATAAGAAAAATTCAAATGTTGTATTTCCAAAAATATGCACTCAGACTTTGAAATTTTAAGTTTGTGGACCAAGGGGGAGGGACAGCTTAACCAAGGCATACAAAAATTAGATGTACCGGGCGGCAACATTTTCTGAGAGGGGGGGTCCCCCGGCTCTGGCTAGGTTACTGTACAGTATTCTCTAAAGCAATAAAATATTATTAATATTTCTAACTAATAATTATTACTAATTATTAGTAAATATTTATTATTTATGTTGCTCGAATTAGTCAATTAGCCAAGCCAGACTACAAGATTCAAATGCTAATGGGCCAATTGCACAAGGCAGATTAAAAGAGTGACTAAAGGCCTGTTTAAACGGATCCAACATTGTTGGATCAACATCATCCAACAATGTTACTATACTAGATATGACTGCTTTTCTTTCAAATCTTTCTGGTTAGATAAGCTTTACTCAAACTCTAAACCTAGTCTTGATAAAAATATTTGAAAAGGAGCCGTTTGAGCCATCATTTCAAAAATGTTGGATGATGTTGGACCAACAATGCTGGATCCGTTTAAACAGGGCTTAAGGGGGGGGTACACATGGAATCATTTGAAAAAATCGATTTTCATTTTTTGAGCTAAATAGTTACTGTGGCATGTAATTGATGTTGTGAAAGTATTTATTTGGTTGAATTTAAAAAATTGTTCTCTCAGGAGCTGTTTTTAACCA